TTACGTGGCCTACCACTTCGTGGCTGAGTTGCTGTCGTTCCCAAACACTTCCATTTTCTTATAATACAGCTGACAGTTGACTGTGGAATATTTAGGAGCGAGGAAATTTCACGACTGGATTTGTTGCACAGGTGGCATCCTATCACAGTTCCACGCTGGAATTCACTGAGCTCCTGAGAGCGACCCATTCTTTCACAAATGTTTGTAAAAACAGTCTGCATGCCTAGGTGCTTGAATTTATACACCTGTGGCCATGGAAGTGATTGGAACACCTGATTCCAATAATTTGGATGGGTGAGCAAATACTTTTGGCAATATAGTGTATATTAAACATTTTCCTGTTCTGATAATTTTCCTTTTTGGAAATTTTACAATAAAAATTACATTGAAAATGTAAATGATTGGCTTCAGTGCATCCTGATAGCAGTTATAAAGATTATTTTCTTTCTATTTCGTGAATAAAGTTCTAAAATTACGAGAATAAAGATCCAGCATTTTAAGAATAAAGTCTTAATATTAAGACAATAAGTTTTATTTTATGACAACTCCTACAAGAAGCCCTTTATTCCCTAAAATGAGGAATAGAGCATCATGTGAAGTTCTACTTTAGCATCGGTTTGACAAATCAGGAAATCTTTTAGCAGCAGCATCAAACTGGGCAGGATGTCAAAGTGGACTCTGGTTGCTGATTGGTGGAGCTGGTCGCCCGTCATCTGCTGGGCGGAGCTCCAAGATTTCTTTCTGAAACGGGTTGTTGTATGAATTTATAATATTTCTTCTTGTAATATTACGTTTTTCTTGTAATGTTATTCTTTATTCTCAAAATAAAGAATAAAATGTAAAAAAAAAAAATCTCTAACCTAACCCTAATACGCCGTCGTAAGATTTAAAGCTTGCATTCTTTTTTATTTTTATTTTTTTGGGGCGGGGTTATGTCTTTCATGGGACCCCAAATTCATGGTGACGCCCCTGCAGTCATTTCTAGCTTCTACTGGACCTAAAGGTCGGCATATTAAACTTTTATTTAAAAGTTAATTTAATGCAGTTATTAACAATAAAACTCTCACTGCTGGCAGTTTATATTTGTCACATTTTACATTTATCCAAATCCATAAAAAACATTTTGTCTAAAAAAGAAAAACATTTTTTTCTATCTGAACGAAGCTTAAATTCTCAGTTATTCTTTAATTCTATCCTAATTAAAAATTATTAATCACTGAATCAAGAGACCAATATTATGTCAAAGGAGGAAGAAAAAAAAATATCTTTCAAATTTTTAAACATTAGGCTACAATTTTTATTTTTGCTGCACTATAGAGCAACAGACTTAAGATAAATTACAACTTTATTGATCTCACACTGGAGAAATTAACCTCTGCATTTAACCCATCCGCTGGGGGAGCAGTGGGCTGCCATGGTGCGGCGCCTGGGGAGCAGTGTGGGGTTAAGGGTCTTGCTCAGGGACCCACAGTGCAGGTATTTGCAACCTTCTCAGAGCACAAGCGCTCTGCTCTAACCACTAGACCAACAATCCCCCAACATTATCAAAACCTCATTAAGGCATGAATTTAATACATTTCTAGTTATTAGAAATAAGGAACTTACATTTTTCTAACAAACCAACATCCTGATGCTAAATCAACAGCTTGGTGCTAAAGTTGTAGCTTCTTGTTTGAACAACTGGATAAACAGGAAGGTGTCATGTGACCAAATGTAGCTGTGCTGCTAGTGTTTGATTAAAGAATATAAAGTTCTCTCTTCATGGTGGGATAGTGTTTCTAAGTTTAAAAAATTATCAATTATGAACATTGTTTTATCTGTAAAATGAACTTTTTCTTTCCAAAAATGAATGAATGTCTTTTCCACCAAATACTTTGTGTCTGATACCAACCAGCACTGCTCTATCCTCCATGAGATCCACACGTTCAGCCTAAATATGACTTCAATCCAAAGTCTGAAGACGATTAACGAGATTAAACAGCTTTAGTTTCATCATTTCAGGTCAGAAACTGTCCTATCAAAATAAAAGCAGTCACTTTGTTGGGACGATTTTATTGGTTTCAGGGTCATTTTATTGTTACAGAAATGTGTTTTTACATGAACAGAAATACAGTTATTCCAAGAGAAAAAAAAAAAAAAAGAAATATTTCTATTTCTAAAACCTTACACTTCAAATTTTTTGAAAACTGTGTGGAATTTCCTCTTTTTCAACTGATCTAAAAACTCATTAACATCCAAAAGAATAAATTGATAATTCAGACTTAAAAATATGAAACCAGTCTTCAACATGATGCAAAAACATTCTAGTTTCTTAATCCAACAGAAATAAAAATGTTCCAGATGCCATTCAAGTTTTATTCTGCGAATAGTTTGTTTTCATTAAAAAAAGTGAAATATATTTGAAGGGTTTAGCTGCGTTTTCATCTAATTCTTTAAGTTTAAGACATCCACAGTTGTACAAAATAAACGTGTTCAATTTACTGAACAAAAAACAAACAAACAACAAAACGCATAAATAACTGCTTTATTAACATTAATGCCAATAGGAAGGTTGAGGTCACATGACCCGGAAGCTTATTGAGTGAACTTTGTTTCAAGCTAAATAAGTTTTGTAATTGAATATTTGGTAGAAACTTAAAATATTTGAATTAAAATGTTTTGAGATTAACTACTGACTTCTCAAATTAAATTGTTTGTTTTTTTTTTATTCATATTTATTTTTCATCTTTTTAAAAAATATTTTTTGAAAACAATTGAAATAAAAACCAAAAATTTTAAAGAAAAAACATTTGAAATGTCTAAATAAAAAAGAAAATGTTAGAAAATCTAAATAAAATTACTCTCAAAAACTACTTTAAATTTTCTAGATTTCTTTTTTTTATCTATAAAACATTTTCTTTGCTTGTAACAATAATGGAACATAATTCCCTCCAGTCGCTCGGCGATGGAGCTGCTTAATGGCGTCTTTAATACGTTAAGTTCTTAGATTTAAGCCCAAAAAATGAGGATCAACTTTGGTCGAGCGTCTAAATGTTGACGCTAACCTCAGGAGGCTAACGGCCTCAGAGGAAGAACGTTATCTGGTTAGCATTAGCGGACATGACAACTGGCTAACAAACGGCACAGAAGCAAAGCTGATGGGCGCGAGGGCGCCACTCAGTGGCTGGGAGGAGTCACACTGGTAGCTATTGCTTAAGAAAAAGTGAACTTATGAAAAACAGAAACTCCTGTTTGTTCATTTAGTCATCAGGATGGTTTAATAAAACATGAACATTTTCATCTTTAACAGTTCAGACCTGTTTTGCTGGACTCATGCAGCCTGAAATCCACCATTAGAAACATGAAATGTGGAGGTGAAGGACAAACGTCTAGAATGACCTTTAATACTTTAGAAAAACAATAATCTGAGGGTTTAAGGTTTGAAAGTTGGACATAAAAAAACAAAAAAACATTTGTTCCAGAAGGCTGCATTTCATTAGCTCAGTGAAAACTAAACGTTAGCATAACAGGAAGCTGGAGGATGTTTTCCTTCTTCCCCGCTGGTATTCACTAGGCTAAGCTAGGCTAAAGGTCTGGTTATCCTCCCGCAGCAGTGTGTCGCAGTTAGCCCGTCGCAGGTATGACGCAGATATAGAGCGGATGTAAAATTGACCATTCAAGGTCTCCTTTCTCTCCTCCATGCGACGCTTTAGGCCTGGTTATCCTCCCGCAGCAGTGTGTCGCAGTGAGCTTGTCGCAAATATTTTTGACTTATGCCCAACAGTGAAGCTTGTTCCGCGCTGTTATTTCATGCCATAATGCTAGAGGACCAATCAGGAACAAGCTGTGGGTCTAGATACGGCCGAGGCGGTGAGGAAGTGGGGGCGAGTTTGTGCGACAACGGAGGGACATGAGGGCCAAAAAGAGCAGGGATCCAGGTGGAAAAAGGGTCCCAGCGTTCTCGCGCACCTCGCTCTTCTAGCTGCTCCATCTTCACCAGTCGGTTTCCACAATGGCGGTCAGACAACAAAACAAGCCGGTAAGGTACCAAATGGGAAATACGCAGAGTGGATATAGATTTGACCAATCAGAGGCCTCCTGTCTGCAGTCACCTACAATTTGGGAGAGGTGCAGCAGAGGGGCGGGGCATATCTGCTTTAAATGCGACACATGCAGACGACCTGGTTTCTGAGCATAAATCTGCCGTTAACCCCTAGATTCCACATCCTCCGTCAGCGCTCCGCCCCATCATGAACGTCATGCGGAGTATTTGTCTGTCATGTTAACCAATGAGAGCTGTTCCACATCCACCGCTACTCCTCCACACGTCGCCGTCCACATACGTCTTCTCCGCAAAACAAACAGGAAAAGGAACGTGGAGAAGATCCGGTTTGTCAAATGAAAATATAGTAACAGATCAGGAACTACAAACTAGAGCATAATTCTTATATATTGGCAAAACCGTTTAATTAAATGATTGGATGCCAACTATTAGAACTTCATCAGAACAGGAAGCAGATTTCTCATCTTAATCAAATATATGTATTTTATACTGAGAGGCTTTAAAGTTTAATTAAATCCAGTCAAAAGAAACTTTATCTTATCATTTAATTTAATATGATCCTAGTTATCCCCGTTACAAAAATCCACAACAAAAAATTAAATATTTGGGCAGAAACTGGAAATATGCTGAATGCTGATGGGGAATTTTTTATTTGTCATCTTAAATTAAAAGTTAATTTCCACATGGTTTGCTCCTATGAATTTTTCCTCAAACTCTGAGGTCGGCGCGGAGCGAGACGGGAGGAACAGCGGCGGCTGTAGGCTTTGCTTCCCCCCAGGAGCACGGCAGTGGCGGAGGATGTGGGATTTCAGGGTCTGCCCTTGGTGAATAGGAGGAGCTGGCTGCATTTATGTGGAATAAATAAGGAAGGTCTTTCTTCCTGAATGGGAGCAGAGGAGCTGATGGCTCCGCCTCCACGCATCAGGGCAGCTCTGCTGGCGAACAATGAGGAGACCTGTTGGCATTCAATGGATTTATTGATCTGTTCAGTCCTTTTGACAATTGGGGGGAAAAAACTCACAAAAAAAAAAAAACAAGAGTCCACAGAATAAAGTTGATACCCACCTGAGGCCAGGCCCACTCACACACACTCACACCTGAACACACACCGACTCACACGCACTCTGACCTCGTCTTACCTGAACCCGTGTTTCCTCTACGACTCAGACTTACCAACAGGCGCCAAGTTAATTTACTACAACATGAGTGAGAACAGAACCTTTAGCTTTTTCCACACATTCTCTCCTTTCTAACGGCGGATCGCTTTTATAAGACGGTTAAACTGTGAGGAGGGTAAAAAGGTTACATCAGACAGGAAATGGTTTTCCCCGTTGGGTCGATCACCGGCAGGTCGGGATCCGAGGCCCGGTCCGTCGGCGGCGGAGCAGGAGATGGAGAGGAGGCGGGCGTGGAAGACATGGAGGCGAAAATCCTTTTAAACGGGAATGAGAGGAGGACGGGGCGACCCCCGACCTGCCGGTGAGTCACAGACCTCTAAACCGGGCCGCCCGCCGATTGGCCGGCGTTACAGAACACGTAAGACTTCCAGACACGCCGTCTGAACTACGTCCACACTGCCAGGTCTCTAAAAGTGAAATAAAAAGCAAAGAGCAAACAGGAGGAGTCATTCCGGGGCGACGAAGGAGCGTCCTCCTCTTCAGGTCCATCAGTTACGTTCCAAAGCTTTCCTTTAGCACTTCCAAAATGAAGCGAGCATTCGGCAGCGGACGACATGGAGCGGGGGAGGGAGGGGATGCAGGGCGTGGCGCATGGATGCGGGGATGTGGGGGGGGGGCTGAGTCTCATTCTGCAGCCTTCAGAGAGAAGGACAGCTTGGGTCTGGACTTCCCCTTCCCCAGGATGATTTTCTGCTCCTCCTTCTGCTGCCGCTGGCGGTCCTGCTCCAGCTTCATGCGCTCCTCGTGGATCTTTCTCTGCTCCTCCACGATCCGTAACTGTTCTTCAGCCTGGGGGGGGGGGGGGCGGAGACAGACGGGGTCAGAGGAGGACAGAGACACAAACATAGGAAACAACTTCAGACATCAGCCGGAGCTTCGTTTGGGTTCTGATCCGCCTGCAGTAAAACAGGATCTCCTCCATTTTACATCGATAATCACAGGATTGAATGATTTTATCCATAATTAGTCCAAAGCTTCGCTCCTCCTGCTCTGACTAGAGCTAATCTTCCGTTAAAATCATCGGGAAGCCGCCGTTCCAACCGTTGCATTCCCCAATTCTCCCGAGTGCTGCCCGACTTTACACCAGTGAATAAAGTGAATGTGATTGGTCGTTTATCAAGGGGGCGGGATTGTTGTGTTTGGTTTAGGCCGGTTTGTCGGAAGCATTAGCCCCATTTACACTACCCTTGAAAAACCGGTCCGAGCTGGGATCAGTTAACCAGGCCGAGCTCGGTTCTGACGACCGTTTACACTTCACGCTATCTCGGTTCCTCGCCTCCTAGTGACGATCTGCGGTATTACTGCCAGTATTGAAGGAGGAAATCAAGCAGTTGGTGGCGGTAATGCACCAAAAGTTGTTTGCCAACCGCCATAAAACACAAGAAGAAGACGAGGAAGGAGGGAATCAGGCAAATCAAAATGGCGGTGCCCGTCATATTCAGAAAGTTATGCTTGATTATTATTGCTGTATTTCGGTGTTATTATTTAAAATGTTGCGTGGAGAAGATTTCGATTGTTGTTAATAGTTAAACAAGAAGTTCTTCTGTTTCCGGAGGGGCATTACCGCCACCTACTGGAATGGAGTGTGAATCGCGATGTGTAGCCAGACGGAGATCACGCGTTCTGCTCATGCGCTCTTGTTATCAGAGAACCGAGCCAGGGAAAAACCGAGCCCAGCCCACCTCTGGAACCGGTCTGCAGTTAGCTCGGTCCGGTTCTGTCTAGCTCGGTTCAGTTCAGTTTGCTTTCCATTTACACACCATAAGTTATCTCAGTTACTGAGCTCGGACCGGTCTCAGCACGGTTTTTCAAGGGTAGTTTAAATGGGGTATTAGTCACTGCCCGATCCGACCCGGTTCTGTTCTGCACATGCTAACAGATATACATCCAAGTGTCCATAAATAATGTAATTATGATACTAAAACTACTTATTTCTAACCTTAACTCACCAAAGAACGCTAATAAACATCTTTAAATAAATGTTTTATGACTTCTGTGAGACATTTTTTATGCTTTTTACATTTTATCCATTAAACTTCTTCTCTGACATGATGGGACATGCTCAGAGCAGTCCAGCAATATATGATTAAACCATCTTTATCTACATTTTAGTTGGATAACACACTATATACCATAAGGTTGAAACGAAATGAAAACATAAAACACAAAAAGAAGAGATTAATGGTTAAAACCAAAGCCGAAAAAATTAGCCAATGGAAGTAGAGTAGGATGCCTTAAAGGATTTTAAGGCATTTATTTTCTTAGGAAATACATTATTAACCTTTAAAACATTATATTTTTGTACGTTTACTACCTTTGGGGAGGGAAAATGTTTTTTAGGAATCGACCCAGATGTATATCTGGATGCACATGCTTCCGGGACGGATCGGGTAGTGACAAGCATCATGCTAACCAGTTAGCATTTAGTGCTAGCAGGTTCCCAATGGGAAATTCCATTGGGACCAAGTAGCACTAAATTGGTGACTTAGAAACGACGCTGTCAAGGAACGCTATGGACAGCGGAAACATGCAAGAGGAGGAGAGTTTAATGTCGGAGGTCGTGGATGAGTCTCCTCCGTCATCCATTTTTTATTTAGAGGAGGAAAGCGGGGACGAAGATGTTGTGGAAGAGGACGCCAGGGCGGCAGAAGCTTGGTTTGGTGTAGAAGGCTTCCAGCCGTTCATGTCCAGATATCACTGGATATTGTGTGGCACGGTAGGGAAGCTAGTATTTTTATGAATCTCTGAAATGTCCCGATTACGGAGGCTGACTGTGAGGAGATGACGCGGTCTGCTCATTCGCTCTTTGTTATCAGAGAACTGAACCATAACTGAACTGGGCCGAGCCCTACTGATGAACTAGGACCAGTTTAAAGTGGTCGGTTTTTTCTGGCGTGGTCCGGTTCAGTTTTGCGCGCCGTTCACACTCAGCAGTTATCTCGGTTACCGCGCTCGGACAGATTTCTGCACGGTTTCAAAATGGTAGCATAAATGGGGCTATAGTGTCCTTTTTATCATGTAAATGGAGAAAAAGAAAGAGCGATATCAGCTTTAGAAATTGGCCCAAAAGAGAGAGAAAAAAAACAAAACTAGCATTAAACAGACCAGCTGGACTAATGTCTTTAAAAGCCCGTATCAGTCGATCTCTACTAGGGCTGTTTGATTTGGCTAGAATGTGCATAATGGATATTTACCTCTTATATCAATCAATTTTTTCTGAATTTAGGATAAGGTTAAAAAAAAAAAAACTTAAATTTAAATGTGACCTTTGACCTTTAGAAAAAGCTCAGCCCATCCAGCAGCCTGGCTTAGTTTGGCTGTGACAGACTGAAAGGCTTCATGCTTTCTTATGCCTACATCTCCCAGAATGCAGTGCGGTTTTGGATCAGGGTTCAGTGGAAACCTGAATTTGAATCCTTTTATAAACTGATGATCTGTCAATCACAGCATTTATTGGCATTTATTTATCGCCGACTTTTTTCCTTTTATTCTGTTTATTTCTTTACCCTCCTCTGTGCTGAAGAATAATTTATTTTCCCTGTTTCCCTGTCATGCTTTTATGTCATTTCACTAAACAAACTTCCAAGCTTTGAAACAGATTCCCAACAGGATTTGGGTCTGGACTTTGACTAGGCCACTACAGCTGTCCAATGCAGACCGCTGCAGTGCGGCTCCACCTCCGGTTTGTTTTCTGCTGATTTCAATCTGATTCTGATTCCTAACCGTTGGAGGAGATCCATCCCATAACATCCCAGAGAAACAGCCTGTGGTTAAACTGCTCCAGTTTTCCCAGAATCCAACAGAAGCTCCAGCGGCGCGAACAGAAGCGGTCCACAGAGCGTACCAGCTTGGCCTGAGCCTCGGCGATCTTGCGGTTATTCTCCTCCAGGATTTTTTCCAGCTCCTCCCGCTTGGATTTCTCTTCCTCCTGGATGGGTGACATGATGCCATGTTAGCGAGCGAATAAACCACAAACGCACACTCTCTCTCTCTCTCCCTCTTTCACACACTGTCTCTCTCCCATGGTCTCAAACACGCTCACCTCACAGAAAGTCTGTTTCTGCAGTCGACCAGATTATCTTTCTACCTGTGCAGAGACGCGACCCTGGGCCCTCTAACACTGCAACCCTCTTCCTACTCTACGTTACTTTAAACAGAGAAACACACTCGTCACATTCAGAGGACAGAAACGTAACAGACAGACTAGAGGTAAAATACATTTGCTTCTTATGAAAGAGAGAAAATAGAAGGAGGGAAGGAAGAGTTTTGGCTCACCAATGAACGTATACCTACGCATTTTCCTTGCCTGTGTACCTACACAACTGGTGAACGCATTCGGCCATAAACGGCTGAATATTTACTGTCTGGTCCGGACCGCGGCCCCTGCAGAGACAGAGAGGCGCTCCTGGGGGTCGTATGGGGGGGAGGGGCTCCTTTATAACCCAAACCCGGCTTAGATTGTGCCTCTGAGTAAGGGCGCGTGTGGTCCAGCGTGTGTGTGTGTGTGTGTGTGTGTGATGGAGGAGGACCCGACCACGGCACACTTACAGTACGGGACACAATCACAGGCTGCAGGTCAGCTCGGGTCAAGAGCTAGTTAGGGAGGTGGTGAGGTGTGTTTCCAAAAACAACAACATTAAAAAAAATAAAATCAAACACATGAACAGAGTGACAGCGAGCTGCAGCCCTAAGGAAGAGGGGAGTTAGGGCACAAAATGGAGAAAAACATCACATTTGGTTACGTTAGAAATCAAATCAAATCTGTGGGAATTAATGGTGAGAAAAATTAATCCATTCAAATCAAATAAATCATCAGAAATCCTCCCGTCTGTCAGAGGAACCTGCCAGAGTGAAACCGTCTGTGAATCAGTCACATGAGGAGAGCAGCGTGTCTGAGGAGACGCTTCCTGTCGGCATCCTCAGACTGACAGGAAACAGGAAGAGAGGAGGAGGAAGGCTTAGACCCAATCTATGTCTGAATAACGAGCAAACGAAGGCCTCGTATTTACAGCGAGCAGAGATCCTGCTGCTGCACACTGCTGGTCAGCTGGCTTAGGATAGGCGGCTACGTCTATCAAGGTTAGGAAAACGAGCGGAGCTGTGGCGTAGAAGCTAATGCTACGTTCAGACCGCATGCTGTAGAGGCAGCTAGTTTACATGCAAAGTTAATGGTTGACGCACATCAAGGTCCTGCAGCGCGTTTTGAGCAGCGGAAGCAGCGCCTCACGAGCTTCTGAGGATCTGACGCGCGACGCGCTAAGAAACCAGCAGCTGCTGGAGTTGGAAAAATGTAACTTTTGCTGCTGGACGCGCCACATCAACCAATCAGAGAAGCTGATCTGGAAGCTGGCAGAGAGACGGACACAGATCTGCTGATGCAGAGCGCTATGATCGCTCCTCTGAAACTGTTTAACGCCTAAATTAACTTCAAATGTAGAAACCTGACAGCAAAATATATTTAGTTTTATTATTTTGGTGCATGCATTTGGATTACGCACAAGAAAACTGCACAGACCATGTTTTCAGGAGGACTTTCTCACTTCAGAATAGATTCAAACGACTTTTCACCCGCTGATCAGACCTAATATAGCGAAGCTGCTCTCTGGCATCGAACAGAGGAGCAGCAGAAGTATCTGGACTCACTTTACTAGACGTCTGACCTTAATGTGGACAAGCATCAAAAATGAAGCAGCAGCTTTTTTGCTGCTTGCAGCGCTTCGGGTCTGAACGTAGCATAACAGCTGAAATCCTGTCTGTTCACAGAGGAGGGGGCAGGACCCCCGTTTGTTCAGGGATCCAGACTAAGGCGTCTTAACTGGACCTCAGCTCTCCCACAGAACCGTGTCCTAACTGTTCCCCAGACGCTCTGCTTTTCGTTTGCGCTGCGTTTCGTTTCCTTGCTGCTATAGAAACCAAATTATCTAAACATAAACTTTAGTTTCCTACAGCCTGAATCTCTTTGTAGCCGTGGATGATTTTCTTTGTTTTCACCTGTTAGCGTCTGTATCTCTCCACTGGTGTTAATGGAAGAGTAAAATGAAACGTTCATTCTTTGGATACTTTTTTTCTTGCTAATTAAATCTTGATTAAAATTAAATTCAGACTAAAACTGTGACCACTGATCTCCAGACAGACAGTAGCAGTCATTTAGATTTTCATTTCAGCTGAAATGTTGTCAAAATAAACATTTAATTTGGAAATATAGATAAAAATGTGACAATAATCAGGTTTAATCTCTCAGAAAAAGGCATTTTATTCCATTTCCTGGTTTTATTGAAACTGTTTTTTTTTCTCTTAATTTTTAACTCTTCTTACTTTTCTATCAACAAAACCCGATGTCACAGGTAACCATGGTTACCAAATAAACTCCGGTAGACTGCAGCGTCTGCTAAAGTGAGCATAAACCTGCCTGCATTAGAAGCGAGGCGTCCTTTGAGTGACACCCACAGATCACAGAGACATGTTGGGTCAGAAGTGGGCGTTTCTGAGCCAGTTTAAGGACCCGCCCACCTCAACAGCGCCGTTAGCTACCCAACTGGCTACTAAACCACACAGCTTTATGACAACGTCTCATTTCCTCCTAGAAGTTCCTGCAGGTTATAAATATTAAATGAATAAGAATCTGTGATTTTCATAGTCTTAATCATCATAATTGCTGCTTATATTTTTCATAAAATCAGTTAATGACACTAAGAAAGCAGAGAAATCAGCTCCTTTAATGATGTTTTAGGAAACATTTGAAGTCAGGAGGAGAGTTCAGTCATTACTTCACCTAAAATTATGATTTTTTTTATTATCTTCTCTTAACATGTGAAGCTGAGGGGCTCAGAGTGGGCGTATGTGTTTATTACAGCAGTTTAAGCAGGGAGTGGGCTGCTGCTGCTGCTGCAGACAGAAGGAGACACGGTTTGTTCCTGCTGATGTTTCATCACAGCCCTGGTGGGAAAACCGTCACCATTAAGGGAAAGGAGCCGTTTAGCTCCTGCAGCTGCAGAGCTGGAGTTATCAGGGAGAGAAGATGGCTTCCTGGGTCTGACTGCTGCAGCTGTTTGGATTCCAACCCGTTTCTAACCTGCAGCTGGTTTGTATTCATTTCTACTGCGGCTGTCAGGATGCCTTCCTTCCTCAGCCTAAGTGTCGTTTGAGGACAGAAGCAGCTAACTTCTGATGCCTTGGCTGCAGGCGGGGTGAGGCGGGTGAGTAAAAGGGAAGAAAGTGGGGAAGGGAGGGGTGCATTCCAAACGACCGAGCGTTACCTCTCTGGCCTTTTGCGCCGCCAGCTCGGCCTGCCGCTGCCTCTCCAGCTCCTCCAGCAGCTGCCGCTCCATGATGCGCTTGGCCTCCTCCACGCGCCGCAGAACCTCCCGCTCGATCTCGTCTTTTCGCTTCTCCAGCTCCTCCTCCACCCGCTTGGCCACCAGCTCCTCTACTCGCCGGGCCGTCTCCTCCTCGATCAGCTTCTCCTCGATCTCCTGCTGGCGGCTGGAGGGAGAAGAAGGTGTCAGTAAAGGATGTTTGTTAACTTCAGCCTAACAGAAACGCGCCGTCTTCCTGTTAAGCTGAGAGCTATGAGCAGCGGCCATGATGGATTACTGCAGCTGGAAAAATGAGGACATGAAGGTCTGGGAAGCTGCTGCTGAACCAGAACCAGGAGTATGGCAGCAGAGCAGCTCAACTTTGATTGGATTTTTTTCTTTTTTACTTAATTTTCACAGAAAAAAATAGAAAAATGACATGTAACACTTTAAAAACTAGCTTTTATTTCCTCTGGGAGGTGATCTTAATTTAAAGGACAACAAAATTCAAGCTTTAAATGCTGCAAAAGATTCATGTTTCATAACAAAAAATGAAAATCGAACAAGCTAAATGCTTGCAGCGTCACAGTGAGCTGGTTTAACAAACATCTATGAACAAGAAGTGATGAACTGATGACACTGGAGAGGATTGGTGGAAAAAAAATCCATAAATTAAATCTTCATAAACAAATATTTCCATTACACAATAAAATAGATTTATTTCTCAGCCCTAAGTTCCATGTTTTATCAAACAAACATGCTTTTCAGCATTTAATCTGATCATTTACATCCAGCTTCCATGACTAGATCTACCCATATTAGAGATGTTTTAACCCAAGCTAATATTGATCCAGTAGGGGAACGGAGGTCTAGTAGTTAGGGCATAGAGCTTGGAATCCTGAGGTTCTGAGTTCGAGTCCCACTCCCACAGACTGCCACTCTGGGTCTCTGAACAAGACCCTTAACCCCCCACTGCTCCATGGGCGCAGCACAGTGGCAGCCCACTGCCGCCCAAGGGAATGGGTTAAATGCAGAGAGTTCATTTCTCCAATGTGAAAACAATAAAGTTCCATTATTATTATTTTCAATAAACCGATACCTCACCAGTGAATCTCTGATTGGTTCCAGTCGGGCTGAAATTTAGGCCCATGTCATTTTGAATGATGATATTGTCCTTTGACCAACATCAGCTGGTTTATGCTCAGAAACCAGGTCGTCTGTGTGTGTGTCGCAGTTAACGCAGATATGCCCCCCTCCCCAAACTTTAGGTGAGCGCAGACAGGAGGCCTCTGATTGGTCAAATCTACATCCGCTCAACACTATAGGTATTTCCTGTTTGGTACCTTACCTGCTTGTTGTGTTCACACAAACTTGCCCCCACTTCCTCACCCACAGCTAGTTCCTGATTGGCCCTCTTACGTTGTGGCGTAGAATAACAGCGCGGAACACATTTCAAAATTGGGCATAAATCAAAAATAACTGCGACAAGCTCAGTGCGAAACACTGCTACGGGAGGATAACCAGCCCTTCAGGGTTCTGTTCAGCACATCTGGGCAACAAGCTGGATACGAAATGACATCAAAATAAAGCTGACATGCTAAGTTTAAGCGCAACAGAAACGCATTATCCTCCTTAATGGCGTAAAATGTACATTATTAATGTAGCTGCACTGGATAAAAAATGTTAATGTAAATATTCAAAATTTTACTAAAGTTAGTTTCCTCCCATATACCAGTAGAACTGCTACTGTGCGATAGCTTTAACTGAATCTTTTTGGGAAACCTGAATCGATACCTGGCGCTAGCTCCAAGTCTACTGCGTTATCCCTCAGTCTGTGATCCAGACTCCATGCATGTAGGACCCATTTGACTCCAACTTCCTGTCTGGCTCATTTGAGGAAGTTGATGCCTTTTATTCATCTGTCACATTTAGACTGGATCCTGAATCAAATCAGCAGCTTATTTTCCATTAAGTTCGATGCCAAACTTGATGTTTTGCTGAATCAATCAACAATCCAGCTGTGAAGAAGCACAGCTGTACCTCAATCCTGGTGGGCTGTGGATCTCCAGGACCAGAACTGAGGACTCCTGCAGGTCTGACACACCTAAACCTCATTAGCTGGTCTCTCCAGATCCTCCAGAGGTGATGCAGAAGTTGCAGACAATGGATCTCCAGGCCCAGAGCTGGAAATCCCTGCTCTATTATCAGATGTTACTGAACTATTTGCTAATTCACTAAAACACTGAAAGCTTCCAACAGGCAGATTAGTCACATCTAAAGAGAATATTTATTTTAAAAGCCTGCTTCAGTTTCTGGTAATAAGCACAACATAAGAAACTGCTTTGTCACAAGGAATACATTTAATATAATACTTTAACAATAACTGTTAACATTTTTGGAATATCTTTACTACATACACTAATACAAAGGATTAAAAATATATGTTTTTGGTAAAAGCTTAATTTATAATACCCTAAAATAAATATTTTTTACACATTCATTGGAAATTAATTTCTCTAAGTGATGCTAAAATATATATATATTTTTACAAATTAAATGGAAATTAATTTCTTTAGATAAAGAGCATTTTCTCTAGGAATCCCTTTAATATAATAGTTTTATAATAACTGTTACCATTTTTGTAATATTTTTATTAGATGTACTAATAAATGTGATTAAGAATATATATATTTTTGGTAAAAGTTTGATATAATTATGCTAAAATATATATATTTTTTTACATTTTCAACTGAAATAATTTCTTTAATGTAATTTAATTAAAAACACTCTTCTGAAACACCAGGTAATGTCTTTAATATATATTTACTAGCAGCTCCCTAGCCTAGCAGCCGTTAGCATTGCTAGTTAGCCTTTTAGCATCTGTCCGTTAGGATCAATGCATTCTGGCTAGCTGTTAGCTTAGCACACAGATATAACAGTTTGTTATAGAGGTTTCAGTGATTATACCCACATTTTCCTCTGCCTCTCCATCTCTGCCTTCCTCTCCTCCTCTTCCTTCCGCTGCTTCTCATCCAGAGCGGTCCTCTTGCTCAGAGTCCTGCCGAAGATGTCGATCCTCTCCGGGGGAGACGCTGCTCGCTCTCTGCGGGATGAGACTGTGGTGGACCTGGACCTGGAGCGGGACTCCCTGCGCCGGTTCCTCTTAGCCTCCCGAGACTTGGATCGTTTCTTTGACCTCTCCCTGTCTCTGGACCGGGACCGAGAGCGGCTGCGCTTTTTGCTGTGTTTGCTGCTTTTGGAGTGTTTGGACCGGGACGTGCTTCGGCTCCGTGAGCGGCCCATGGCGACCAGTCTGACCGGGCTGATATGAGGACAGTACTGCAGAGCCCACTCCCACGGCTGCTCCTCTAGCTCGCTACCTACAGGAAGAGATCAATGCACTTAGATGAAAACACCCAGTTCTGGTCCAAATCGCATTCGAATAGATCCTTAATTCGCCCTCCTGAGACGTTACAAGGCAAGATGGCGGCTTGTCGAGTTTGTTGTTCCCAGAATGCACCGCGGTTCTCGGCATTTTCCGTCAGTCTTCGGAAAGTCCCGTTAATTTCCCCCAAAGAGTCGAACAACCCTCAAACCTACACAGCCACTGAAAAAAAATAAAGTTTATTGATTTTTAAATATTAATTCAGTTTAATATAGGGAAGAAAATCAGAATTCTGACTTTTTTTTTCACCATGAAGGAAGATATGTGGAGGACACAGCCTCACTGATAAAGATATGAGTTGTTTGGGAGGAATAGTAACACGTTGGTGGTGGAAAATGACAAATTAGGAGACTTTTTATGTGCCTGAGGGCTCCCTGGTGATGATATTTCATTAATGGAAGATCAGAAGGTGATTAAAACAAGAGAGCTAATCTCTAAAACAGACATGCCTACGGCTTGATGCTAACACGATAGCTAGCTGTCAGAATTCTGAGAAAAAAGTACAAATTCTAAGAAAACAATCAGAATTCTGATTTTTTTCTCATATTATACTGAAATAAAATTTTACTTTTCTTATTTTTCAGGGGCCCTCGTGATCTTCCGCACATACCTGACATGAAATTACAGGAACCAAAAGCTCAAATAGCAAATATCTCCATGTTTTTTGTGATAATAGATAAATAAATCTGTCCAAAAATAGAAGCCCCTCTCCTTTACCATTATATTTATAGCCGTATATTTGTATTCATCAATCAAGTTAAAATGTACTGCATAAACACAAAACATTCAGGTAAAGCAAGAACTTTTCAAAACACATTTTTTTACATAAAAAACACAACCATTTCTTACAGTATACAACATTGTGTGATAGAACAGTGTACACTCCCTTTCAGGCACAATAGATGCTTTGCATAAAAAATAAAAAAAATAGTGAAACAGTTTGTCAGTTTACGGAGCCCCTCTGATGACATGGTCAAAAAAAATGTTTAATTGTGGCCACGAAGTAGTATTTCGTGCGCACGAAGTAGTATTTCGCGGCCACGCAATAAGTATAACGTGCGCACAAAATACTACTTCGTGGCCACGCAATAAGTTTAACGTGCGCACAAAATACTTCTTAATAATATCAATAAATCCGCCCCTGTTTTCAGGCTTATGTTAACTGTAATGACTTATCTTGGACAGGCTGCTATGTAAACGGGCCTTTAGTCCTTCGTTTAGCTATGCTGCGGTTGTTTACACTACGCCTTTTCCACCTAAAATGGCGTCTTAGCAACAAATGTCACGTGACTGGCGGAGACCGACTGGGTAAGCAAATCGAGCGCGCCTTAGACCTTAGAGAAGGCGCGCTCGATTTGCTTACCCAGTTGTCCAGGAATGATATTAATATTATTAATAAGTATTTCGTGCGCACGTTAAACTTATTGTGTGGCCACGAAGTAGTATTTCGTGCGTACGATAAACTTATTGCGTGGCCACGAAGTAGTATTTCGTGTGCACGTTATACTTATTGCGTGGCCACAAAATACTACTTCGTGCGCACGAAATACTACTTCGTGGCCACAATTAAAAATTTTTTTTGACCATGTCATCAGAGGGGCTCCGTAGTCAGTGTCCGGTTCATTTTAGGTTAAAAAGTTCTTTATTTAGCAGAATTACTCACAGTGAGTGAAGCCTTTACTCAATGAAAGTAGTGATACATCATGATAATTTTACTTCCGTCAAAGTAAATAGATTAGAATAAAATAGAAAATTCCTTTACTGTCCCACAATGGGGAAATTCTGGTGTCCCAAGCCTTTGACATCATCAGTGACCCCTCACCCCCCCACCATGGACTGTTCTCCCTGCTCCCCTCTGGGAAGAGGCTTCACAGCATTCAATGCAGGACCAGCAGGTTCTGAAACAGCTTCTTCCCCACCGCCATCAGACTGATGAACTGTTGAAAAAACTCTAAATCATGTCACAGACTCTGCATCACACTGATAACACCAAACAAAATGACTGCATAATTGCTTCATATATATTAATGCTCTGAACTTCCATATCAATGTGTTTTTTTTGCACCATGTTTTTTCTTCAACACTGTTTACATTTGATCACTGTTGCACTTTATAAAAGTGAAATGTCATGAGAACTGTACAAAACAACAATAAAAGTTGTCTAAGTATAAAACTCTGCACCTGGAGAATAAATTACCAATATCCAGCTATGGACATTTTTACAGTAATGGATATTTGAAAATAGCAGCAACATAAGAGATGTGCAAAATAACAGCAGCAGGGTATTTAACTGACTAAGGTAGAAACTTTGCAAAATCAGCATGAATGGAACAACTGATTGAGGATGTTGTGAACAGTGGTGGTTCTAGAGTCTTGCAGCTGCTGGGAGGAAGGATCTGTGATAACGCTCCCTGCTGCATTTAAGGTGCAGCAGTCTGCCACTGAAGGAGCTCTCCAGTTCAGCACCAGCTTCATGCATGGGGGGGACATTATCCAACAGAGATACTAATTTAGTTAGGATCCGTCTGTTTCCCACCTCCTGCACTGAGTCCAGAGGGCATCCAATCACAGAGCTGGCCTTCCTGATCAGCTGATCCAGACGCTTTCTCTCAGCTACAGATAAGCCTCTGCTCCAACAGACAGCTCCATAGAAGATGGCTGATGACACAACAGAGTCAGAGAAGGTCTTTAGGAGCGCCCCCTGCAGTCCTCAGCAGGAAGAGTCTGCTCTGACCTTCCTTATACAGAGCCTCAGTGTTGTGAGTTCAGTCCAGTTTGTTATTCAGATGAACATCTAGGTCCTTTTAAGAGTCCACTATCTCAATGTCCGTTCCCTGGATGTTCATTGGTGTCAGTGGGGTGGATCTGCTTCTGCAAAAGTTCACCACAAGCTCCTTGGTTTTCCCTGCATTAATCAGAAGGTGGTTCTGCTGGCACCAGACCCGCAAAGTTCTGGGTCCACTGTCTGTACTCTGAGTCGTACCCACCTGTGATGACGCAAAGTATGGCAGAATCAGCAGAGAACTTCTGGAGTTCATGGAGAAATGAGCAGGATGGCCGCTCACACTGAGCCTGGTTCTGCTGGAGGTTTCTTCCTGTTAAAAGGGAGTTTTTCCTCTCCACTGTCGCTACAAGCATGCTTAGTGTGAGGGATTGCTGAAGAGTCAATGAGTCGATGCAATCAACTTGTTTTCCTTAGATAGAAAACTTTGAATCAATCTGACTGGATGATCTGGTGAACTGGAAAGTGACCTGAGATGACATGATGTGAATTGGCGCTATAGAAATAAACTGAACTGAAATTGAATTGAAAATTGAATAGAAATCTGCAGTGTGGAGGGAGAAAAATATAACTCCTTAAAGTACGTGTTTTCTTTAAAAGTTACTCAGTTAAATGTAGCGAGTTTCTACCTACCTGTGATATCATCTTATCCACCTTCATTTCTATGTAACTGTTGAAAGAAATTTGTAAAGGAAAAAATTTAATTGGTCGGAGAAACTGATCAAATCCAGTCTCTTCTGTTAGTGTATTTCGTCATGATAAATTTATTTAGTATTATGTTGGGTCATAACAACAGAAAAGCACCTAAACCAGTTCTATAGGGGCACTGGCCCCTGATGGCCCCTATCTAGAACCGCACATGCAAAAGGAGACCTCATTGCAGTAGGAGTCACACTGCATGATTTTCCTGAAAGTTCTAGATCTACCAGATATTTGTCCTGGATTAAATATTTGATCATGGGCGTTAATTTATGTGCTGCTAACCAGAGCTTGAGATCAGAGAGAAAAAAAGAAAAATAAATTAAGTTTATGTTATAAATATGTGTAATTATTGCATGACCATACTTTCACTTTTGTTATATATAAAGACATGAGATGAATTGTCACAGATGATTTCGAGCAATTTTTTTTTAAATCCAGACTAGCTTAAATTTATAGTCTGTCTAAATCCTTTTAGTCATCCATCACAATTTGCAGATTATATTGCATTTTTTTGTCAGTTTGCAGGCAAATGATCAGCTGTCGATGCAAAAACAAAGAGAAAGTTATAATAACCGGACCGAGCATCTGGGATGTGAACATGACATTCATGCGCTCCAAGTTTAAAGTTGTGATTTCTATCTGGATGTGTTGCTCTGTCGCCTTTCTGACAGCAAGCAGTGGAGTCTGACGCTAATTTCAGAATGTGTCTCCACTTGACCGATATCTGACTTTGCCTTTCTCCATTTTTAAATGTTGCTGTCATGCTCTACCAGAGGCTAAAATGATGCTTTTATCTGAGCTTGTAAATATAGCGACAAGAGCATCAGATAACAGCCCGACAAACAGAACGGGGCAGAAAAAAGAAAACAAAAACTGACAATGGCGCAATCCTGCACAGATAGATTGCCGTTCCACCGCGGAAAATGAGGCCATTGTGAAAACGGTCCCCGGAGGACTGAGCTGGAAATAAACTGCTTTTACTATATTTAAAAACACAGGATGAAAAGTCCAGCAAATCAGCTTGAAAAAGGTCCCATCATTCAAAACACAGATGAAAAAGCAGCTTCTTCAGAAGGATTTGGTTCTTTTATAATTACCTGCAGTTAATTTTAGAAAAAACTGATTCAGGGTGACTCTGTCTGCAGCTTTCAGTGCAGATAAAAATACCTTTGGATGAGGAGAACCTTATAAACACAGTCAGATAGGTCACCATCCTAACAGATCTGCACGGTCCGGGGCGGGAACCAACAGAGGAAGCCAAACCTCCTAAGAAATAAAGCATATAAAGGATTTAAGAGCCAAAAAGTGAAGCCAACTCCTGGTTTCTGTATCCTGGAGAAGCTAATTTTTTCCCCCCCTTTTTTCTGCCTGAAGTCAAAGCATCCATTTTTTTTTTTTTTTTTTAAGTTGAGGTTGAGTTTTATTTCTTTTTTTGCTAAATTTTGTTTCCAAAGATGAAAAGAGCTGACATTACAGAGCCATCTGTGCCTTGTTTTTCATTCGGGGAAGGGAGGTGCTTTAAAGGCTCTTTTGATGAATAATAGAAAATGTTTCATGAAGGTGAAAAGGAGAAGAATTGCAGCACAATCCCAGTGGGGATG